TCTCTTGCGTTTCCCTACTCAATATTAGAATTGGTTCAAAATGAGTTCTCTGGTTTGTGAAGACAATTTTCATGTGCACAGCTGTTGGATGGATGCTAGGATTTTTACAATCATTTTATGCTTTTGGCAGCTGACTTACTTGAATGCAATTGAGGGGAAAAGAAAGAGAAAACAATAACTGAAAAGTCACTAAATCCAATTTATTTGAAATAGTTGTCTTTCTGCACTTTTTTTGAAACACATATAGAGAGGCAGTCATTGAACTGGTTTCTGGAATAAAGTATCATTTAACACACAGTATTAAGCAGTTTAATACTTGGTATAAAATATTATACTCAATAAAATATAAGTTCTGTATAAAACATGTCTCAGATTTCATCTCTGATTTGGCTTTCCTCTACCATCAACTATTTGTACTTTATGTCATTATTTGCCCTCTTATCTCAAGAGAATAAAAATTAATTTTCTCCAAGTCATGCTGGTGCTTTGGCATACTTCCTACTTTGCACATATGATTCTGGAAGACAGTTGATCTAGGTTAGGTCATTCCAGATGCTTGTTTATAATCCCAAATGAGTGGAAGAAAATCCAGATGGGAGTGGGGAGTCTTTCCCTTCTCATCCCAAACATCCAATTTTTGTAGGTATGAAATTCTATAGGTCTAAGATGAACATTAGAAAGTCTCCTTTCATGTGTCCATTCCCTGAGAAGAATTTTCCTCCTAACATCTAACTTAGGCGGGGAAAGTATGTGATTAAACCTAAAGTCAAGATTTATTTTTTTGTATGTGTTCTGCCTGCAAATGATATTAAGCAAAGCTGTTCAGAATTCAAGTGGAAACAAAGAAAGTTGTTCAGAAAACTGGGGTTTCCTTTGCTAAGTCAGTTTGGCAATAAAGTGGAGCAAAATCAAAGCATTCTAGCCAAAATAAATCTGCACAATGGAACTATCAGATATGAGGTAATAGTGTGACATGCCTGTGGGTATCAGACATTCTTGTAAAAACCACAGACCTAAAATTTGGTCCTGCACCATTAAGCCATAGCTCTGCCAAGCAGCAACACAGAACACACGTTTTAAATCTCTGTTACAAACCAAATGTAATTCCCACCAAAAGCAATTAAATCTTTTACCAGAGGTCTCAGTCTGGGTGGTGTAAGCCTTGACAGTCACTCAGTGGCAAGGAAGCCTACCCTTCTTTCTGCGTAGACCTGAGATGGATGTTCAGATCAGGAGGAAGTGTCAGTTGTAAAGTACATGACTGTCAAGTAACTTTGGAAATTTGAGATGAGATTTGAGATTCGGTTGAAAGCAGTTAGCTCATGGCAGAGGAGGAGGGTGGGAGAAAGTGGGAAGGGGACACAGTGGACTGTGGGAGGACTATGGGTGTGATCAATAACACATGTATCAAGTGGTGAGATTCAGAATCTTAGCTCTGAATCATACACGGCGTTATACATAATATTAACTTGATTAAAAAAAAAAAAAGCAAAAACTAACCAAAAAGGGTTTGACAAGAAATCAGTAAATCCTTTCTGATAGCTGTTTAAATTGATCATCTTAAAGACTTCATTTTATTAATCAGAAAAAAATTATGCACACTCTAGGCAAGTGGGGAGACATTAAGAATTTGGAATGGGATATCTGTCAGTCTCATATTCCTCAGAGATAACAATTACAGTATTTTCCTGAATTTCTTTTTGGTCTTTTACACACACACACACACACACACACACACACACGCGCGGAATATCGTTGTATCGAGGAGTATATGTTAAATTTGGATTACTGTGTATTTTTAGTATTTTGCTTTAAAATCTTATCTCTTCTTTCCCATTTCCTTATATTCCTTAAAGACAAGCAATATAATGGTTTTATGATACTCCATTTGCTGGCTATGCTATCATTCATTAAGTATATACTTACTTTACAGATCAGTTTCCATATAATGTAAATCTAAATAGTATTTTATGCAAAATTTTCTTCCTTTTTCTATTTTTTAAGCATATAATTTTAGAAGAAACTTTGAAACTCGTGATATATATTGTGAGCAGTATACCAGAATGTTATTGATTCCACTGACTATGTCATTGCCTCTCTCCCTTGCCATTTGCTAGAAACAAGCTACATCTCTGATTAGGAGTAGGTGTGGACAAGGAAGAATGCAAAACACCCTGTTCATTATTTCTAAATATCAAACTATTTATAAACTGTGTCAGAAAGTGCCAAGCATAGTTCCTGACACTGGAGATAGAGCAGCAAACAAAATAACCCTGTATTTCTGTCCTACTGATTTTCGGTTCTACTGGGGAGTAAAAATATATGGCACTCATATAAGATACTAGAAAGTTGCAAGTGTTATAAAAAAAAAAAAACTAAAGCAGGAGTGGAAATGGCTGCATGGGTGGTGATAAGAAGGGGAACACTGGAGAGTTAACTGGTATTTCAGAGATATTGGAACTTTTTCCATCTTGAGAACATTTACTGGTTTCCTATGAGACATTAGTTAGAAAGCATTAAACTACAAAATCCAAGTTAAGTATGTGAGGAACTCTGGAATCGCTTCATGGAGGAATGGTTTGTGTATATACAACATCAAGTTTACCACTATAAGTTCTGTTTCATCCTTTACTTCACTTGTCCTCTTTATCCTGATTTGACCGCTCCCCCCTTCCCTTCTGGTAAGCTCTAATCATGCTGAGTGACATGAGCCAGATGGAGAAATACAAACACTGTGTGATCTCGCTGCTTTGTGGTATATGGAGAAAACAAATAGACGAAATCAATGAATTTCTATTCTTAGAATTTTTTATCCAACTTTAATTAATCTGTTAAAGACAACTATGTAACAGCAGGTTGAATTTGACATTTTTAGCTCTGTTTTGTTCCATTACCTATTAAAGGAGAGTGGAAGGGAGGAGAAAACTTGGTGGGTAGTGGTAAGAGCTGATAAGGGGAGGGAAGTAAGCAAAGAAAAGGAAGAAAAAGAAGTCGAAATCTAGTTCAGAGCAAATGTCAGTGCCTGGCTGCAGGGAGACAGTGAGGCAGCAGACTGATGAGTATGGTCCACTGGGCATCTCCCCGGGGTCATCAGGGTAAAAGTGGTACCCAATGGTCAAAAATTTTGACCATCCCGAGGTTACTTGAATTTGATTTAAATCCATCTTATTTCTGGATTAGGTTTTCTTCCATAGAAGTAAAAACATCCCTGGGTCTTCCCTGGTGGAACAAGGGGTTAAGTTTCAGCACTATGGAGCCCGGCAGCCTCTACAGCAGGGTTCAACCCCTGGCTGGGTTGCTGACCCACGTGGCATGGCAGACCATTCCTGTCTCGCCTACTGCTCCCTGCTGTCACCTCAGCAGTGGACTTCCTCAGTTGACCTGTTCTGCTCCCCACTCTGTCTCTGCTGAACCCTCTCACCTCTCTGCACCTCTGACCTACATCCCAGCTCTGGGTGTATAAATAAATCTTTTTTAAGAAACAAAACAAAACACCCCTCATTCTGTGACCGAGAATAAAAGAACACCTTTATTAACATTCCCTTGGTTCTTTTTAGTATTGACAGTCTTCAAACTCTTTTCATAGCACTGACCTCCTCTTAGCTCTTATTTTTGACATGATTAAGGAGGACTTTAAAGACAAGCTAAGCAAGAAATTGAAGGAAAAGTAGAAAGTCTCATAGGTTTTCAAGCTTAGGTTCTTCTTATAAATTATTTTATCAAAAACTGAATTTGTTACCAATATTTAAAGGCCTTAAAAGCCACATTTTTAAAGAAAAAATATAGATACTCTCATATATTTCTTACCCATTTTGGGAAAAGATTTATTAATTCATGCATATAGAACTGGGGCACAAGCCAGGGGTGCAGGGGCAGCGAGAGGATTCACCAGAGACAGAGTGGGGAGCAGAACAGGCAGATCAACGAAATGCACTGCTGGAGGGAGCAGCAGGCGGGTCAGGAGAGGCCTGCTGCACCATATGGGTCACCCCCTGACTTGGGATCGAATTCACGAGGTGGCTGCAGCTATCTTAGTAGTGCTGTGCTTTAACCCATTGCGCCACTAGGGAGGGCCCTACTTGTTACCCATTTTTCAGAGATATAAAGATCCTCACAGTGGTGCTATTAGAGTAACTTGTAGGATCTTTTATTTATTAGCTTATTTTTAAAAGTTTTAATACTAATGAACAACTGTATACCAGAGACATTTTACAGGGGTGCAGTGGGGAGTGCACTGGACTATGGTGATGGCACACGGGTGAATTGGTGATTACAATTGAGAATGGAAAAATGCACAAAATGATTAAAAATAAACTATTATAATAAAAAATATCATTTTTATCTATCTATCTATATATATATATATGTTCCTACTTATAGATAATAAATTCTAGATTAGATCATAAAGCAAAAGTGAACTGTAAGTTGAATCCATCTGAAAGAGAGTAAACCATGAAAGCTAAATATAAAATAATGGGTTATAGTTATATTGGGTTATACAAAAAATAGAATAAATAGAGCAGATATTTCCACAATATTTGTAAATCAATAAGTGAATTTGATAAAACAGTTATTTAAATAAAGCAAAGAAAGGTTTTTTGTGGTGATTAAAAATAGAAAAGCAGAATAAATATTCCATTGCACTGTCATGCAGTCACAAATGTATAAAAATGTGTGGGCTCATGTGGGTGACAAGATTATGTTTTTTCCCCTCTAGTCAACATCCAATAGTGCTGTTAGAATGAATTCTAACAGAACAATTACATTTCTTAAATCAAGCACTGATTATATATTTAGAAATCTAAGATTACTAGAAAAAAATTCCTCAGATATAGCTCATTGCTACAGGAAAGAATACACATTTGTTCAAGAGAAACTTTGAGATACCTGTTTTTCTACTCAGAGCTTTTTTCATTACACCAGAATCATGTCAGCACAGTGGTTCAACAGAAATTATTGAATCCAATCTAATTCATTTGTGATCTCCTCCATTTTCACAGCAATATGAGAACTGGAGACCTAACCAGCCAGATAGCTTCTTTTCTGCTGGAGAAGATTGTGTTGTGATCATATGGCACGAGAACGGCCAGTGGAATGACGTTCCCTGCAATTACCATCTCACCTACACCTGCAAAAAAGGGACAGGTAATGATCAGCCCGTTGATGATGTACAGTTCATTTGCATTTCAATTATCAAGTGAATTCCAGAAGACTAAGCTCTTTCTTTAAGACACAAACAGAATATGTCTGATATATTATCTCCTATTCTGAAATATTTCACTCTTTCAATAGATAGTTGAGAAGTTCATTTGAATATGGCTTTACTTTCGAATTTAGGTGTTTGGGGTTATAATATAGCATTAATATAGAAAAATGATCTGACAGTATCTTTGAGAATAACAGCTGCCAGCCCAAGGGCATAATTAAGACTGGTTTATTGTGATAAGGAAAGCATTAAACATTTATTATTAAATGTAAACATTTTAAAACTGGAATGTATCATGAAATAATCTGGATTTTCTAAGAATACCTGGTACCATTTTACACATGTCCAAATTCACCCACGATTTGAAACTGAAACCCATCACCTTTTGTTCCTGGGGGCTTCATTCTCCAGAGCACTATAGGTATTCAGTTTTTCCCTCATTTTCAACTGCCTGGACTCTGTAAACATTTGAGTTTTTGAGTCATCCCCTTACAAGCTTATTGCATACTTAAAAACCATGGAACAGAAAACTTTGCCCCTGTATGTATAGTGAAGACCTTCAAGATATCATAAAATAAACACATTTGACTGTAAGTTCTGTAATGAAAATTGCTCAGTTGACTTTAAATAGATACAATTAAGAAAGCTGCTTTTTAAGTGTGTTGTGTTTATCATTGACCAATTTGTTTAAATTCTAAGACACACTGTATATCGACTTCTTCCTAAAGTTCCATAAACATTTTCTAATCTGCTTGCAATTGATAATGGTATTAATGCATGAAGAATTACTCTCTAGACCCAGACTTGTATCCACTGTAAGCAAGACTGCAAACCACAAATGCAAAATATAAAATCCATTTGATTTATTTGTTTTTGAAAATAAAATAACCTAGTTAAAAAAATACACACTCTATAAATATTTCAAGAAAGACTTAAAATCAATAATGAGAAATCCTGTTAGAAGAAAGAGTAAGCTACACAAAGCTCAGCTGTAATTCCACTGTCACCCCTTATGTGGCTATGTGTTTCTCTGAAGTAGCATCTACTCCTATAGCCTTTCTGCATCAGCAGCTTTCCTGACTATGCGCCTTATGTTAGCACTTCTGTGATAAGACTTGTGAAAACAACAAATCAAGTATTTGCTGTTTTGCCTGCACTAGTGTGAGAAGTCTAATGAGTTGTTTGTCTTTATCCAAATGTCATGTTTGCCTTCTTGATCTTCAAATAATCCCCGGGGTTGTGCTCTTCATTTTATGATACAAACAATCATTTATTTCCTGTTTTTGTTTGTTTGTTTGTTTTTTGTTTTTTGTTTTTTTCCCTAAAGCAGGTTTTCTCAACAGCAGCACTACTGACATTTGGGGCCAGATCACTCTTGGTTTTTGGAGGGCTGCCTGGTGTAGAGCGTTTAGCATCACCTGAGTGCCCTGTCTTTTTAAAAGCAGAAGCATTCTCCTCTGCTCCACATTCTCCTCCACTCCACCTTCTCCTCCTCTGCTTTTCTGACTATCATAAATGTATCTGACATTGTCAAATGTCCCTGGGGAGGGAGAGAAAGAAGCAAAGTACCCTAAGTTGAGAACCACTGTCCTCTTATGTTTCCATTTTCCCACAGGGAAGGAAAGTTATAAACCTTGACTCTACTTCATTAAAGAAAAAAAAAATAATGAGCTAATTCTTATACCTCCCCCCACTGTCTGATTTTTATTTAGGGTTGCCCTTTATTAATCAGCCTCTGGACTTAGGAATTTTATAAAAGTCTGCAGATTTTTATAAAAGTTACTTATTTCTCCATTCAGATATTATAGATATCTTTAAATACAACGACTTAACTAGTTCTACTTTTAATTACATACCTATAACAAAGGATTACAACATATACATTGGATTTTTTTTTCCATGCATACTATCCACACTCATTTGGGAACATCTGTAATTTCCTTCTAATTCCATCCATTTGCTCTTAGTTTTCTCTTCAGTATTTTCATAACTACTTGTATTCATAAAAACAAAGATTGCTTTAGTTTTGCACATTTTTGAACTTTAGGTAAGTGGGATTATAATGCTTGTATTTCATGTGTTGCTTTTTTTGTTCAGCATTATGTTTGTGAGATGTATCCATGTTGATGCATGTAAGTGTATTTCTTAATTGTTGCTGCTGTATAGAATTTTGTTGTATGACTCCACAACATTTTATGTGTCAATTCTTCTGTCAGCGGACCTTTGGGATATAGGCAATATTTCACTATCATAAGCAATGTGCCAATAAGCGTGTTCCTGGTAGACTTTTTATGAGTTTTCATAGGCTATTTTTTCAGGAGTGAAGTTGATGAATCATAGGATATAATTCTCATCACATTTTCTAGAAAATGCCAAATTATTTTCCAAAGTGGTTGTATCAGTTTGCATTCCCACCCGCAATGTGTGAGAGATCCTGTTACTCCACATCTTCTCCAACATTTGATGTTATTGGACTTTGAAATTTTGCCAGTATGGTGGGTATAAAATGTTTTCTCTTGTTTAATTTGCATCTTCATGGATCCTTTTCTTCCATACCTTTTCATGTACTTCCAGGTCACTTACAGTTATTCTTTTGCGATGTTCCTGTTCATGTCTTTAGCTTATTTTTTAAAAATTGGTCACTTCTTTATATTTTAATTTGTAGGAGCTCTTTTTTATATTCTGGTTATGAATCCCTTGGCAATTTCTCCCAGTTTGTAACTTTTAAACTTTTTTGCTCCTACCTAATAGCATTTTTTGATGAATAGCCTTCTTCATTTTGTTTCATTTTCCTTTGTGGTTAAAATTATTTTGTGGCTTAAGAATCCTTACTATCTTTAAAGTCATCAAGATATTCTATATTATTATGTAGTCTTACTTTTAAAATTATATATTTAAACCCCCTACAGTTGATTTCCCATGCATTCTCTGAGGTAGGAAACTAAGTAAACTCTTTTCCATGCAGACACCCAATTGTCCAAGTGAAAAATCTGCCTGTTCCCCTACTGCTCTGCCATGTTGCTCTGTCAAATATTAAGCATACGTGTCTGGGTCTATTTCTGGTCTACTTGTCTGTCCCTGCCAATACCATACTCAGTAAATAATTTTAGCTTTATACTAACTCATCACATATAAATAGGTTTAAAAGAAATCTGTGTGTTGCTTTACTCATAATCACAAAAACAACTTCTAACTGTCAGTATTGCACAGATTCATGTACACTGAATTTATAATTGATCATTTTTTTCACCTTTGTCATTTGGTATCATTCGGATAGTCGCTAGTATATGAAACTTGGTTTGGGCTTTCCATTTTACTATAAAAGAAGCATAGGTGTACAATTTATGGTCATTCTACCATACATAGGAAAGAACAAATAAACCTACATGGCAGTAGATGGTGTTATAGTTGTATTTATGAATGTCTGTGAAACTATGATATTATTTTCTTAGGGGATTACAGTCATAATTAATTTTTACAAATCCATTATTGTTCCAAGTGGAGGTAGGTAATAAACAAATACTCTGTGATAAAACAATTCTGACAGGCTGCATGTTGGCATGAGACAGGTATTTTCTGCCTTAAAATTATTTTCAGAAAAGTGACCCTACCAGATGGCTACATGAATATATGATCACTTAGCCTTATGTTTCTTTTATAACATACAACTCTAGGTGACATAATCTGATATTTAAACCTGGAAGAGAATCCCAATGTTTCAATTTTTTTTTGGAAAAAATTCAATTTAATGAAGATTCTAGATTGGGGACCATAAAGAGGAAAAAAGACAAAAAGAGTCTCTTACTGTAATTGAAATAGTTAGATGATTTGAAAGTAACTCAATTTTTTTCTTTAGTTGCTTGCGGCCAGCCCCCTGTTGTAGAAAATGCCAAGACCTTTGGAAAGATGAAACCTCGTTATGAAATCAACTCCCTGATTAGATATCACTGCAAAGATGGTTTCATTCAACGCCACCTTCCAACTATCCGTTGTCTAGGAAATGGAAGATGGGCTATGCCTAAAATTACCTGCATGAACCGTAAGTGGTACCTTAGAAAGAATGGACAACCGTGCTATAACAACCACTAACCATCCGCCTTTTGGCTACGGTATCAGCAGTATAGGGTATGGAGCAAGTAATGTTGTTATGTTTTCTTTCTTTCTTTCTTTTCTTCCATGTAGCATCTGCCTACCAAAGGACTTATTCTAAGAAATACTTTAAAAATTCCTCATCCGCAAAGGACAATTCAATAAACACATCCAAACACGATCATCGCTGGAGCCGGAGGTGGCAGGAGTCAAGGCGCTGAGCCCTAAAATGGCGAACATGGGTTTTCATCATTTCAGCCAAAGTCCTAACTTCCTGTGCCTTTCCTCTCACCATGAAAAGTATTATCAGTTGGTTTGGATTTTTGGATCACTGTCCAGTCATTCTGGGTTGCTGCGCTCCCAAAACATGATGAATGAAAGTATTGGCATTCAAACAGAAAGCAAACAAATGAAAGAAAACAAGGGCAGAAAGTAACCATTTCCAGCCTAGCTAATTTCGTTAGTTTTCTATTTGCCTCCAGTGCAGACCATTTTATAATGTATACCAGCCTACTGTACTATTTAAAAAGCTCAATTTCAGCACCAATGGCAATGTAAATAAGATGATTTAATGTTGATTTTAATCCTGTATATAAAATGAAAAGTCACACTGAGTTCAGGCATATTTAATGATGATTATGGAGCCTCCGAGGTCTTTAATCATTGGTTCCGCTGCTTTTTGTAGTTTGTTTAGACTGGAAATGGTTTCATTTGCCCATTGACTGTAAGCAAGACTGAGGACAACTTTTCTGGGCAACTAACACACACAGTCTTGTCGGCCAGCACCACCTCAGCCTCGTGGAGTTAGCTCACCTGTGATGGTGAAGGCTCGTGGATGGGATCCCGAAGGAACTAAGGACTGCAAAACGGAACTTTTTGCTGCATTCCTTCTTCACTTACAAGAAAGGCCTGAATGGAGGACTTTTTTTTTTTTATGACCAGGCGCATTTTTTTAGGGGTCAAAAGTGCTAATTATTAACTCAACCAGGTCTACTTTTTAATGCTTTCCTAACACTAACTTGCAAGGTTACAGATCAAACTATTTCAAATGACTATAGAACTAGGGCTCTGGTGGGTGGGGGATTGTTAAAACAACACACATTCAAAGAAAGAAATTTTGTATATATAACCATTTTAATCTTTTATAAAATTTTGAATGTTCATGTATGAATGCTGCAGCCGTGAAGCATACATAAATAAATGAAGTAAGCCATACTGATTTAATTTATTGGATGTTATTTCCACCGCCCCCCCTCCACCCCAAACCTAAAAATTGACATAGTATACTAGTGTTTTTTGCAGTGTTATCCTTTATATTTCCCTTCTACAATTTGGAACCATATAATCTAGGTACTTTGTCCCTGATTAAATAATGTTATGGATAGAATGCATCAAGTGTTTGTAATGAAGAAAGTGGAAAAGTGTGTAGCATTCAGCAAATGGTGTTTGCCCATCCTAAGCCAGGGGCGCATAGATAGAAATAGTGTGAATATTTCTTCCTGTTAGGTGGACTATATGTGTTGAAATTTCTCTCTCTTCCCGCTGTTTTCTCCCCTTTATTTGAATAAACTAACTGCTAAGATGACCTTGAATCATTCTCCACTTAATTTAATGTTTGAAGAAAGGCCTGTAATGGAAAGAAGGCACTTAGGAGTCCTTCCCCAGTTTTAGTTAGAACAACCTTGAGAAGAGTAGCAAACAAATACAATGCAAATAGAAAAGAAGGCACAAATTATTTCAAATGACTATAGAGCTAGAGCTCTCTACATTGGTTGGGTTCTTTTTCTTGAAACCTCCTTTGGTTTGGAAGAAATGAATTAGGAGGAACCAAGTAACTACAATCATACACAATGTCTTTAACAGAGTTCCCTTGGTTGCTGCATTAAATGTCATCTACCTTTATATCACAAAACAGTTTAATTTTTCCCTCTTTCAATACAATGCACATAGTAATACATTCCTGTATTTATATTATAACGTGTATAGTGTAAAATGTGAATGACTGTTTTTTTTTCTTTTTGTGAATGAAAATCTAAAACCTTTGTAACTTTTTATACCTGCTTTTGTTTCACCAAAGAAACCTAAAATCCTTCTTTTACTCTGCTGTGACTGGTCTGATTATTTAAACCGTTAAACCCTAATGTCCACAAACATTTTTGCATTCTGGCTCCATTACAGACAACAGCTGCTGACCTAGATAAAATGACGTGATGTGGTGGCTAGCAGAGAGAATTATTTAGTACATGCAAAAATTGGGATAGTAATTCTGATAATGTTTACATCTACATCTTTATGTATTAAGCTTAAATAGGAAATAAACTTGCAATAGGTCAAGTGACAGTTGACATTTAGAAAATGGAATGTTTCCTGTGAGCCAGGCCAGGTTTCATGTGTGTAATCTTCCAATAAGCACAAGAGGACGCTGTTACCGAAGAATGACAGATCAAATCAGGCAAACCTAAGTCATTTGACCAAAATTGTACCACTAATTTGAAGTAGATGCAGGTAATCACTAGAGCTTGCTTGATAGTTTTGAGGACAATGAAAAATTCTAAATTCCAAACTGGTATAGAGTTAGTAGGTTAATTTGCTGCTAGAAGATCATACGTTAATTATCATCTGTCATCCAGATTCCATCCATGTTATTTTTCACTCACTTCTCAGTACTTGCTATGTTTCAGGCACTGTACAGTAATGAGCAAGACAGGTGTCTGCCCACATAGATTTTTTTATATTAGATGTATCCTGTGGGAATTGTTTTATGATCCATTCATTTCAATCTGTTGATAACTTGGAAAAACAAACCTGTTACATATTCTGCATTTTTATAGAAGATATCTAAGGACAAAAGTGAGTTAAAAATTGCTTTGAGGTTTCTTTTATGGAATGTCAAGAATATATGCTATCACAGTAATAGTGCCTGAAGGGGGCAATCCTCTACCACTAAATATATATACAACATTGTAAACCAATGTTAGATCAATAACAAAAATAAATTTACAAAATGAAAATATAAAAATAAAGATGTAAAAAATAATTAGTACCTATTAGAAATTGGGCATGCAGAAAAGATTTTATTTATATGATCAGCTTCTTTTAATGTATGAAATTTATGAAATTTGCCAAGGGAGAAAATCCCATGGGGGAAACAGAAGGTAAACATTTTCATGCACATATTAAATATTTTAAATCCATCAACTGAATTCACATTGTTCTAGTTATAAATAATGGACCAAAAGTATGAAGCTGAGAAATGCACAGGACAAATGTAATTGATTGTAAGAAAAAAAAATTCAGAATTGATTTTGTTCCCCCCACCAAGAATCTACAAAAGAAGTTTTTCTAGATATGGGCAAAAGGTATTATCAAGTGGCTAAGGACTAGTTGATGACCTCAACAATTTTTTTTTGATGTATTACTTTCTGTTTCCTAATTTGTACACACAATGAAATTGCTTTTGAAGACAAAAAGCTTGCAGTGATGTTTTTGTGTTCTATGTCTTTGTGTGTGCTGCTGCAAGTTCCATATGCTAAACAAACCACAATTCATCAAATGATTCCTTTCTAAAACAAGTCAGAATAGAAAGTTTATAAAGGTCTTTGTATGCGTCATTCAAGATTGTATAATCTTTTCCCATTATTACTCATTTCTGTATGTTTGGATCACAGCTGTGCAAAAAAAGGAGCAAATGCCAAGCAAGAACAAGAATGGTTTTTGTTTGAAGTGTTTAGAGAATAAGCAAAGCTTGAGCTTTAATTGGAATTTAGTTCAGAGTTCTGTCTGAATCTATCAAAATAATTCCTGCTAAAGTGTACTGCTTTAATGATACTGATAATGTTTGTTCTAAAACTGAATGTCTAACGAGATGCCCATCACATTTCTTTTGTCAAAAAAGAAATTCCACCATGAAGTTAGATTGCAAAGGGTACAATTTTTGACATTTTAAATATTGCCTTCTAAAATAAACACATAGCATCATTCTTTAAATATATTCAGTGGAATCTATAAATAGCATAGTGGTTTGATACCTAATATCATCTGTTTAAAAATATACTTGAAAAAACATACTCTTAATAGTCACATCATATTTTTTAAATATCTTTGGATTATTTTTGTATTTCTGTTTCCCCCATGGGATTTTCTCCACAGTTTTATGTTTATGTGTTTGAAAGTCTTTTATTGATTAAGCTATCAAAATTTGCACTTAGAAGATTGAAATTTTTTTCTCAGAAAGGTGTAAAAGTAGAAATCTTATGCCTTTAGTTAGCATTATGATTTGGTTGGTATAAAATTGATTGCAATATCACACTGACAAAATTTTCTTTCAAATTGTAAAAATTTATACAAATTATAAAATTTCATTCCACATCTACTTCAGTTAGATGACTAGGACTGTTTTTCTCAATTCACATTTCCTTGAATGACTATAACTTAAAACTAGATACATCAGTTCTATTTTTCTTAGTTTTTATAGATTTTAACATTGAAATACCTTTACAAAAATAAGTCTATCAAGTTTCTTTCCATTGTCAGCATCTCGCTGAAGCTCTCCAATATTTTTTCTAACACCTTCCTTTTTCTTCAAGTATTTATTTATGCATAGGCCAGAGGTTTAGGGGTGGTGAAAGGATTCACCAGAGACAGAGTAGGAAGCAGAACAAGTCGACAAAGTACACTGCTGAGGGGAGCAGTGGGCGAGACAGGAGAGGTCTTCTGCATCATGTCTAATACCTAACTTTTAAGAAGGATTTCATTTGTATACTGTCATCAAAATATACACTTTGATTCATTCTTTTATTTGCTCGTAGTCATTGCATTCCATTTTAAGACTGAGGATAGTGGAGGGGATGCTTGATGGGTTGGTTATTTTCTATAAAGTAGGAAAAGAGTATTTTGTTCCCTGAAATAAAAGTATTAGGATCACCTAGGACTGGGAGGAAGTACAAGTCCTTAGATCCTACCCACCTAGGTTAAAAATTTGGCAAGTGGGGACAGCAACCTGGATTTTCACAATCACCCCCAAATGATTCTGTTGCATTCTATGGGTTCACTGGCAAAAGGTGCAAATGTAACACTAGCAGTCTCTGCTACTGATACCTTTTAGGAAAGAGGTCAAATAAAAGTAGTTCTGGAAACACTTCCCTTTGTGTGTATATGCACTCCTTGCACAGGCTTGGGGTGCTTCCAGTGTAAGTGACACTAGGAGATGCACAGTACTTAGAGCATTTTCAGGTTTTTAGTACAGCATCCATCCATATTTATGAGTATGTGTTGTCTCAGTCTGTTGATCATTACTTTTGTTGTTGTTGTTGTTGTTGATCATTACTTTTAAACTTCGAATGGACCTCAGGTTTTACCAAAAAAAAAAAAAATTCCTAAGGGAAAATTGAATTAAGCAGCTTTATTAACAATAATGATTTCTTAAGGATAGATCTGAAACAGTTTGAAATGCAGAAATTAAGACAATTTTTAAAACCGAGAAATGGGACCAAAAAAGATATATCTCCCAGGAAGAGGCGACCAGGAAAAAGAACTTCAGTAGTGAACCCTAAAGGAAGATGGTGCAGAATCCTTGAGGGTGAATTGACTTCTGAGCAACTGCAATTAGTAAGTCACATCACCTTTACCCATGCTCATGCTCACTAGTCAGATTGAAGACTCCTTCATGCCATAGTATGTGTGGCGTGTTTACCATGTACCAGGCTCTATGGAACATATTGTGAATGCTATTGGAAACAAGACGGACAAGTCCTTTTCCTTAGTGGAACTTATGGTCTGATCAGAAATAATAGCAAAAGCATTAAAGCAAGGAGAGATCTGATTTGACAAAAACTTGTTGTTGCTAAAACCTCCCATTTTGGCTATCTCTTTTCCTGCTCTCCATCCTTACCCAATTCCATCCATAGGTATAGCTTTAAACTATTTCCATCTATATCTTTTTATAAATAGGAGCCTAAGAGTCAAGCTGGGCTCATAGTTCAATGTCTGTCTTCCTTCACCAAATTCTCCAATTGTTATTCACATTCATTGTCCTCTTTCTAACCCAATTGTCTTCACTATCTTGTGACATATGAAGATCTCCAGTTGCATTTTCAAAATAATACTTTAAATTACAGTATTCTTTCAAATGTGGATATCATTTACCCCAGCTCAGAATTCTGCAGAGACTGTCACCTACAAAATAAAAACTCCTTTTATAAGCATAGTAAAAAAAAACAAAAAACTTGGGAAAAATTATCTATTCTGTTCTCAGTATGTGTGCTTTAAAATGGAAAATAATTGACTTAGAAATCCCAGATCAATTAATTACCAAAACTAAATTTTACTTTTTCTTTTAGTTAGATTAGTTTGGCTTCCTGTTCAGTTTCTGAATGAAAAGTCAAAATTCCGTAATAGTGTGTGCAGGGAGTAAGCGGAAGACCCGAAATCCTCTCTCACTTAGGGGGGATATAGGTGGCGCCCCTAGATACACTCTCCACCCTCTTCTGTGCGCCCCATGAAACTGATTACACAACTGTCTCATCGTAGATCAGAGCAAGAAAAATGACGTCAGTGTGTGTTCCCTTGACTTCCCCCCAATCCTGCTGGATTAACACAGGTTGCCTGTAACCTCACAACTCAGTCACTAATTCTACCAAGCCCCATCTTCACACTCCCCTCTCTGCATCTTAGTTCCATTCCTGCACTCTGACCTTGACCCTTGAGTAAGAGCTGTCTGCTGTTATTGGTCGAAGAGCATCACACTATAAACTGATTTTCTTAAGTTGTTTGCATTTCTAAATATTCCCTTTTTGAAAATCTCTTTTCACTTTTTAAATTGAGATTACATCAGTTTGCAACATTTTATATAGTTTAGCGGTACACAGTCCCCCCGTTCAGGTATTGGTCGCCACACCGTACCCACCAATTGTGTTATCTTCCTGCTGGTTTT